GATATATAAACTAACCACTTAAGTGGGAGGTTCCATTAGAATCAAGTCTTTAAACTACAGTTTAAATTGGCTTATCCGACTATTTATTATTGAATTCACTTTTATAGGACACAAGTGATGGATTTATCTTTTCTTCCTATAAGTACAAAGTGTGCTGATTGTTACCACTTGGTCTCCAAATGACTTTCCTATGTAGTTTTCTTTCTTTTGTTCAAAGGGAATTGTTCTGGCAGGAAGTATATGTGCCTCCTCTCTCCTTGTTCCTCTGGTTAAAAAGCCAATTAACTAATCCCAAACATGTGGCCTTTATTTGAAAGTCATTTGACATCTGTGGTTCTCATAGTACTTCCACTTTATAAGTCAATTAGTAGGAATGTGGGATAATTTGATGTTTCATTTGCCTACAATATATATAAAACCAATATATATAAAATTCTGATCTGGTCAGCATCACTATTCCTTTTTCTATTTGGAAAACATTAAAAAAAGAGTCAGTGTTGCCCAAGAAGAGTAAGATTAAATATGATACAATGAGATCATAAGCAGAAGATAAACTGATGGTGTCTAAACTCTGAAACTAGAAAGAAGAAGAAAACCAGTGTTCATTGACTCATTGATTATCTAACTAATAATGAACTCTGCCTCTCAACTCTCTTTGCTTCCTTTTTTATAGCCTGGTTTTATACAGCAATACAGTCATAATTATGTGTCATGACATTTGAACTCATTTTCACTGAGCTTGGGTGTTAGATATTTGCTCAGTAATAAATTCCTTAAGGAGGGTTACAATGTGTTCATCTCTTATTTTTTAATCAGATATATACATATTGTACACATGTGAAGCAGATGTTCTTATATAGCTATCTAATCTCCATTCTTTAAGCTGGAAAATAGTAGAACCAAGTGATGTAGACTTTGTCATGCTTCATCAGCTGGAGCTGTACATAGCATACACTGCATCAGCAGGATTGTGGGTAGGAGAATCTCCATCAGCAGGACTGTAAGTAGGAACTCTATCAGCAGGACTATAGGTAGGAACTCTCCATCAGCAGGACTGTAAGTACGAACTCTATCAGCAGGACTATAGGTAGGAACTCTATCAGCAGGACTCTAGGTAGGATACTCTCCATCAGCTGGAACTGTAGGTAGGATTGTCGCCAACATGCCAGGATCAGCAGAAGTGGGAGGCAATCATGTACAGCTTTACCATAACCAACCTGTCAGAAAAAGTAAACCTAGATTTGGAAAAAACAGATCTCAGAGTTCAATTGACATGAATGTTTGATAGAGAACAGAGATTTGTGCTTGGAACCTCTTATAATGTGTATGAAAATATAAGATGAACCAGAGCCTCGATTCTTTCTCAAAATACAGCTTTTATTTTAGAACAGTTTGAAGAGGAAGAATTGTTTATGAAATCCTTTTGGATCCAATATTATTAGATGTTGAAGCAATATATCATCTCTACAAACATTGTCTGAAATATGTGCTGCTGACAAAGGCAATAAGCCACTCTCACTTTCTAATTCCCTGAGAAGTCTTAGAACACCTTCTAGTAACATGTATACGTCAGTATAACAAAATAGTAAATTACTAACCATCTTGTACTAGTATTTTATAGCAAAAAAAAATTGAATAGTATGTTACAAGTGAAGATATTTCTGTAACAGTGATGCAAGACTTTGAAGTATTTAGTGATGCTAAGAGGAAAGCTATTATTTCATTGAAGGCAGGGTTTCTCAATCTTGAGGAGGAGCCAGTTTTTCAACTTAGAACATTATGAAGCAACTAGTCCTTTGTGGTGGGGGCTGTGACATGCATAACAGTATGTTCAGAAGATGTCTGTCATCTTCTCACAGATGCTGGTACCATCACCCAGTTGTCACAGCCAGACCTTTCTTCAAATGTTGCCAAAGTTATTTTGAAAGGCAAAATTTTCCTGATTTTAAAACCACAGATCTAAAATTGAATGTGTCTTTTATCCCCCAGAAAGAAAAAAAAATCTTTTATTTAATATAATATCTTCCATGAACCTCCATTGAGTGTTGCTGATTTGATATGCTCTTCCTTTCAATGAATCAAATTCTCTTATGCCTGAATTAGCTTGACCAATTTCATTAGCAATCTCACACCCACTAATCCCATTAATTTACTCAGTGTCAGAGAGTCCCCTTCGGCCCGCAGTTTCTATCAACATCACACTTGCCCTAAGGAGTAGCTTGCATACTTCCGAAAGCCAGATGAATGCTTGTACTCCTGCCAGACTCATACCTGAAAGGAGAATTCTTTCAGTGCTCTTGGTTAAGAAGCAAGAATTTCTTCCTGAAAAACTTCAAAACTCTTTTTTTAATTGATGCCTATATCTGTTTTTTATTTTTTTAATTTTATAATTAATTTAATTTTACAAATCATCCACGGATTCCCCTGTCCTCCCTCCTCCCACCCCACCCCCTGCCCTCCCCCTAATCCACCCCCCCATTTCCACCTCCTTCAAGGCAAGGACTCCCCTGGGGATTCAGCTCAGCCTGGTAGATTCAGTTGAGGCAGGTCCAGTCCCCTCCTCCCTTCACCTAGGCTGAGCAAAGTGTCCCAGCATAGGCCCTAGGTTTCAAAAAGCCAGCTCATGCACTAAGGACAGGTCCCGATCCCACTGCCTGGGCGCCTCCTAAATAGTTCAAGCTAATCAACTGTCTCACTTATCCAGAGGGCCTGATCCAGTTCCATGGGGACTCCTCGGCTATTGGTTCAAAACTCTTGTACTTGCACTTTGAACTACTGAAAACTTAATAGAAAAAAATGTGCAGTAAAACAAAGAACAACATTCTTCTGCATTTTTTCATCTAAAGTAACATATACACAGTTATGGTTGTAGGGTTTTTTTAATAGTTGTATGTGACTGGTAACATTTTATAAGTGCATGGATAAGAATTATGTATGTACAATAAATCTATAGTAAATAATTTCTCTGATGTATAAATCACAACTTCTTACCAAGAATAACTAATCAACCTCACAGGGGTACTGTGTGAACAAAAAATGGTAATAGATAGGAGATCTCAGCCCAGTAGAAAGAGATTATCATCTTGTGTGCCATATTACATAGAGAGAAGAAAACACAGATATTGCTATACTTTAGGTCTTTCCATACAGTTCATCATATTACTATGATCAATATTTCCAAAAATGCTTTATTGGGGTTATTAATCTGACCTATTGATATTTCTTGCTATCATAATATGAAGCCCCAGTTCAGGCTACTAAATTGAGAAATGCTGAGAAATACCAGATTTAAGGGGTGCTTGTTCCAGTCACTTCTATCTCAATGTAGTACTTCAGCATACAGGCTTTTCCTTGGATTATTTCTTACTACAAATTCGGAATGTCACTGCTCTAATTTAGAACCATGATGTAATTTTAGTTCAATATTTTTTGAAAACAGAATGAGTTGTGTGCAGCAAAGCCCTCACTCGATGCATATAGTTATTTCTCCATGGGAAATAAAACACCTTCCAAAGAAGGAAAGAGAAAGGCCACAGAAATACATACACATGTATGCTTGAACATACACACACATTCACACATAGACACACACAAACACACCTTCACAAAGGTTACTCATTTATATTATTTTAAATATAATTTAAATTACAATAATTTATTGTTTCAACATCCTGCTGTTTACCTATTACAAGATATATTTTAATTAAAACATTCAATGTTGATATATTAGTTGGCAAATATTATATATATTTTCCTGTATGACATGATTTTTTTAATTAAATTTATTTTACATCTCAACTACAGTTTCCCCTCCCTTCTATCCTCCCATCCCCTCTCTCCACCTCCCCTCAACCTACCCCCTCAATCCACTCCTCTGCTTCTGTTCAGAAGGGGGCAGGCCTCCCATGGTTATCAACAAAGCATGGCATTTCAAGTTGAGGTCGGACTAAGCATCTCCCCTTGTATTTAGAAGGGCAAAGCAACCCTACATGAGAAATAAGTTTCCAAAAGATAGCCAAAGCATTAGGGACAGCCCCTGCTCCTGCCATTAGGCATCCCACAAGTAAACCAAGCTACACAATTGTCACATATATGCAGAGGGCCTAGGTAAGTCCCATGCAGACTCCCTGGTTGCTGGTTCAGACGCTGTGAACCTCTATGAACCCAGGTTAGTTAATTCTGTGAGTTTTCTTGTGATGACCTTGATCCCCTATGGCTCCTACAATCACTCCTCCCTCTCTCAACAGGATTTCCCAAACTCAACACAATGTTTTTAAAACTTTACATATTATGAAGTTGATAAACTGAGTAATTACCATAGATATTACTTCACATACTTACACTCTCTTGTTGAGAAATCTATTCTATTAATTTTCCAGATTATGCCTTTTTACACTCAAAGATCACACCCTAAAACCTTACTTATTAGAGAGATTTATTGGAGTCTGGAAAGCACATGTGTGTGGTGGGGTATGTGTTCATCTACATATGAAGAAAAACTAATGTTTCTGACTGTTCAAAGGTTCCATGTATGGCCAGAATTGAAGTGTAGACATTCTTGCCTTTGAACGATGAAGAATGCCTCTGCATTATCGCAAGATGGTTTCTGAATAAATTGTAAGAGTGTTCCTAAATACATTGTTTAAAGATGTGGAAATTGGTTATGTGGGGTCAGTATTGTCTTATGATTTAGTTTTTTCAGAAATACATATACATAATTATATGTTAGGGGATCTACACCGGATGTTTATGTATAGGATGCTGTGTCAGGGAGCATGTGTTCTATGGCACACATGTGTAGGTGAAATGATAACTTTGTGGAGTCAATTCTCATCTTCCATCTTTGTATGAGTTCCAGGCAATTAACCCAACCTTTCAGGTGTGTGCTGCAAACATGCTCACCCTCTGAGCCTTCTTGTTGACCCTGTGTGCTTGGATTCTCAACCAATTGCCTGAAATAGTGATGATTGTAAAATTCCTTTTTTTTTTTCCTTTCACAGGATTATACACTCACCATGTATTTCCAGCAGTCTTGGAAAGACAAGAGGCTTTCATATTCTGGAATCCCATTAAATCTGACCCTCGACAACAGGGTAGCTGACCAACTCTGGGTACCAGACACCTACTTTCTCAATGACAAGAAATCATTTGTGCATGGGGTCACAGTGAAAAACCGAATGATAAGGCTGCATCCTGATGGAACTGTGCTCTATGGACTACGGTAAATGTTTTCCTATTGCCTTGCTTGATGTTGCTGTTTTGTTTACTAGTTTTACAAGTGGGTGGAAGGGAGAGAAGCAGGGAGGAGATAGGCTCATATGCATAGTTAACATATCTTTGGCCAGAAAAATCTTGGGGTCTACTGGAGCTCAATGTAGACAACTTTGTTCAGCAAGTGTAAGTGAGAAGTTTTTGTCTTGACCATCAAATAATAAAGTAGTAAATTTTGTCATCGCCAATAAATTTAAAGTTATGTCCTTTTTTTATCAATTATTTGATTATCTCAGAGCCAATCAAATGGAACTGAAAAGGATTTTGAGTGCTACGTGTTCTTACTTAATTATGAAAGAAAATAAACAGTTTGTGAAGAAAATGGAATTTTGGGGCAGCTTTGAGAAAAGTCATAATATGTTCATTTCCTTCATTTTTTATGGTTTAGCCTCTATATTTAGGTCTATGATTCAACTGACTTATGAACTATTTGGGGACATTTTGCAAGAGCTAAAGGTTGGGGTTTAGTGTTCACTTAGACTTTGGTTCATTTGGGTATCATTTGTTGAAAAGGAAATTTGCTCATTGGATTGAGCTGCTAATGGATCAAATTCACAGAGGGGCCTCTACACACTCAGCTGTGTTCCACTGTTCTTTTTATTTAGCTCTGCACAGGGTCATTCTCTTCTAATTCAGGTGGTTCTTAGCCAACTCATGATGGCAACATGTGTATGTCTTTTCCTGTTATATTTATATCTCAAGTTGTTTGAAATTTTAGGTTCCTCATGTGTTGCTAATTTTCAGAATCAATTTGTCCCATCCACCACATAAAGCCTCTGAGTTTATTATGGAGAATGCTGAGTCAATTGGTTAGTATGGGAAGAATTAACATCATAACATTATAAAGCTTTCCAACTCATGCATATGATATATCTTTATTTCTTTGGACTATTTCATTTATATCAGCTGCTTTCTGTATCACATTATGTTGTTGTGTTTATGACTCAAGTAAAAAGATAATAATATCTTTAACTTAGATCAGCAGTGTTTTACACCACAGTGGTTTTTTTCATTACATTTTTCTTAGTTACGAAGTCATAAACATTCTATAGATGTCTATTATTACTTTTTGTGTAACTGAAAGCTTAGTAATTAAAAAATTAATGTTCATTTACTTCTACTTTTGCCAAATCTGTAGCTAAATTGTGATTTGTTTAAAACTTGGGTATCCCCTTGGTAAGTCCTTTTAGAAGCAAAGGGTTTAGAAAAAGCAATGGACTTTGTCACCAGGGCTTTGTGGGAGAACAAAATGTAGCTGTATGTTTGGTAACAATGAAGGTCAAGGTCCCAGTTTATACTTTGACTTCGGGCATTTTAGAAATTATTGTCAGCATCTAACAATGGGAATTGTATCAAGAAAAGTAACACTGGTGAATTATGAAGTTGAACACACACCATTTTGCAATTTGAAATTCTGTGCTTTGGACATAATGTAGTTGTTGCACATGTATATTCACAGCTGACACCATCAAGCCAGTTTAAAAAAAAAAATGCAACATGCAGTGGAAAAGGAATCTCTAGATGTTACCCCTGGTGGAGAATTATGGTCATGAATGATTCTGAAGGAAGGAAAGTCACTTTTCTTCAGAAGCATGACCACTGGTGGGTTCTCCACACCTTAGTAGATTTCATACCCATATAAATATATATAAAATTTTAAGGGAGGACATGAAATTGGAAGGGAGATGTGATGGGAGGATCTTAGAGGAAATTGGAAGTCATGTTAGGGATGGATGTGATGAAGATGCATTACATAAATGTATTAAATTTCCGTAATAAATAAAAAAGAAGAGAAAATTGAGACACAAAAGGCCTAGGGTTTGTCTAAGGCCACCAAGAAGCAATTCAAAATTCAGGTATCCTGTCTCTCAAATCTTAGTTTATCAATTCTATTCCCATTAAATATACCTAATAGTAAATATTTCCTTCGAAGTTATGTAACACTGCTCTTTACTCTTCAAAAACAAACCAAGCCTGTGTAGATTTTAGCTTATGAGCAGACAATAATGATCACCTAAAGAGAAACACAAATTATACATTCATTACAGGAATGCCAGTCTCTTTATGGAACACTCTTTCTCCTTAAGGGACTCATCTCTGCTCTTATGTATCCCATTCCTTCTTTTCTGCTTTTTGCTCTTTGATTTTCTCCTTCATCAGATGCCATTATCCTCCTAGAGACCAAAAGTATAACAGAGACTGTGTGACATCTGAAGCTAGAGGATAGAGGTTGAGCGTGACTGTCACAATTTTCTGATTGTTTGACCTTGAAAAATTTACAAATTTGATGAGCCTAGGTGTTATCATCTGTAATGATGGCTTAATATCCCTAACTAATTATTGAGATGATCTTAAAAAGTAGTTAATCTGAGATTGAGTACATAGTATGTTCTATTGTGCTTCATCAGATGCTAGAAACTTGCCTTCCGATTGGCTCTCTAATACCTGGAGCTACTAATGATGCAGTTGTCCAATTAAGAAAACACTCAATTGAGTGCTCCATATGTGTATCCATTCTGACCCTGAGGATAGTTTTCCAGGAGTCAAGGGGGCTTCTCACTGTGCAGAGGAAGTAGCATCTGGAATGGAGAGCCAAGAGATTGTCAGTTTCACCAGTCCCTATCCTGAATCAGCCATTTCCACTCCGTGGGTTTCTATCACATTTCATTTATCATTATATCTACCAAATTCTGTTCCCCCTGATTCCACAGACATAACATTTCCTAGCTGTAAAAATGAAGATCTGCCTGTTTCTCATAAAAGCCTTTTAAAGGAATAGCTATCATTTATCATTCCTAAGCACACAAAGCAGAAAGTCTTTACCATATAACATATGCTTTGGCATCTTTAGGACTGTAAAGCACTGATTTTATACATGAGTAATTGAGGAAATGACACTGATGGCGTTATCCATTTTCATAAGTCCAGTTAATAGTCATTGTGAATGGGCCCATATATTAACAAGTAATTTTAGCAATACTGGATTGATGTACCCCAAGCCCCTTTAGCCAGCTTTTCCATGATCATAAAACATATTTTTAAATTAAGTAGATTTTTTCTGTATTCAAATTCAATATGAGATGATACTTTTAAGTTATATGAAATTACAAGATTTTTTTTAAAAAAAAACTGTCCTCAGTCCGATTTTACACCCAAGACGTCGTACTCAGCCCTGTAACAGTGTGGTGTCTGATATAGGACACTACTGAGTAAGTAAGTTCCTGTACAACAGATCTCTAGCACACCAATCCTTATGCCCTTTGTTCTTGAGAGACTCCACTGCGACAAAACGCATTGTTCTAAGGGGAAACCCTCCCATCACTATTACATCTTTTTAAACTAGAGTTGATACTCTAATCTATAACCATGAACCTCATATGCACCAAAAGCTGGCAAAAATCATTCGTTTTCTTAGCAAGTCCCTCAATGTCACTTATCAAGTCCTTAAAACCCCCCTTCTTTTCCTCCTTCTTTGCATTTTATTCTGAGAAAGTTTTCCCTTTGCTCTAGGCTAATGTCTTAACCATAGCATCAAATCCAATCTTTGCCTGATCTTCAGACTCAGCACCCTGTTTTGCTGACTTCTTCAGACCTTTCTCTTTATTGATTTCTTCACCTTGGTTTTCTCTTTGAGTTCTAATCTTCCCACAACCTTGGTTTCCTGTCCTTTCTCACTACTCACTCCCCAGAGCCTGCATCAGCAAGGCTCTACCCAGGCTACTTGCTTAAGCAGCTCTGCTCACAGCTACTAAGGCCATCACTCACTCTCTACTGGACTTCTTTGAATGACTCTGATGACCAGACCTGGCTTGAGGGTTTCTCTTGTGTCTTTAATGTGTGCTGTAGCAGTTAATCCAGGGTTGACCTGCTTCCTGAATTGAACAACAGTAAGGATCTAAAATCCGCAAACAAGTTTCAGGGAATGTTTTGTGATTGAGCATCTGAGTCTGAATGCTCTGCCTTTCTACCTGACACACTACTTACTTTGTGCCATTTGTTTTTCTTCCAAAGTAGGACATCCTCTTGTCCCAGGTGATAGTAAAACCATTGGCATCCTGGTAAATCAGCACAAACTGCAAGTTAGCTTCATCCCTGAGACCTAACCTGTTACTTCTAACCTGTGCTGTTAAACTATCTTTCATGCTTACAAACCACTTCTTCCATCCAAATTAACAGCTTCACAATTACTCCTTGGCCAATTTTCTTGCTCAGTTTTTCTACTTTTTATTATTGTCATCAGCCTTCTTCCTGCTAGAAGCCCCTCCCCCACCAAGTCAGTGGCTTCAAAGCCTATGTAAAATTGGTTTCAATTCTCTCTCTGGAATCCAAGAACCTCTAGTTGTTTTTCTAAATAACTCTAAGAGATTTCAGGTTAAATTATGCATTGAATATTGAAAAAAAAATGTCTCCTGGAAATTATAATTTAGGGGCAGCATATATGCACATGACTGCAACCCTACTGTTTTATTGAAAGGCCCCTCCTTCACTGCCTGGCAGGGGGAGCACTGTCAGTCTCCTCCCCTTGCATAAATGGATGGCATCTCCTCTTCTATATATAGTCTCACTATGTGTGTCTGTGTCCACGTTTGCCCCTTTCTTGAGTTCATTGCTCCTCCCCCATGGCAACTCTTTCCCATTTTCTTTCCTTGTTTTGAAATCCGATCTAAGTTTCTTCCATGAAGATAATCACATTCTCCATAGCCCAGAGGAAAACTCTCATTTCACACAGAACACAATTTAATCTCACCAAAGACCCCTGGGTTTGCAGCTCTTTTATGACACGTTAACTTTTGGTGTCTTGGAGCTGATGACTTTTTATGTAAAGTAAAAAATGCATAATTGTTGAAAATAGAAACTGTATTTCCCCAACCTCTTTCAAACTAAATGATTGCCCAGTAAATGCTTGTAAAAGCAACATTAATATGTGCAGAATGCACTTACCTGACTCAT